TTGGGTGGCCACATCTGTGGCTCCCAACCAGAAACTGCTTGCAGAGCATTATGTTATGCTCCTTAATTGGGAGCATTTTCGCCTCGTCATGGAGGTGGTGTTCAGGAGACATCAGGAGGCATCCGGGCGCTGTCCTGAGTGCGGTGTTCTGTGCTGCCTGTAGCTTCATCCACTGCGTCCTACTAGTCCCCGGCGACCACACTGGTGCTGCGTAGTTTAAAACCGCCCGGCCTATTGCCTTGTATGTTGCCAGCAACGTTTCTTTGTCTTTGCCCCAGGTACTGCCGGCTAGCGACTTGAGGACTTTGTTGCGGCCCTGTACTTTGTTGACAATAGGGGTTGCGTGCGCAGAGAAGGAGAGCAGGCTGTCGAATGTTAATCCGAGTATTTTGGGGTTATTCACCGTCGGAATTGGTGTTTCATCGACGTAAATTCCCAGCGGTAGCCTGACCTCCTTCGTCCAGGTGGTGAACAGGGTCGCAGAGAATTTCGTAGGGGAGAGGGCTAGACACTTTGCAGTGAAGAAGCGAGAAAGATCGGAGAGATAGCCGTTTATTTTTTGGAACACAGGTCATTAATTCCATTCCCAGTCGCCATGATCGAGCAATCGTCGGCGTAAGAGACAATCGAGACTCCCTCTGGTGGGTGAGGGAGCTTTGAAATATAAAAGTTGAACAGTAGCGGGGAAAGGACACCACCCTGTGGAACCCCCTGTTTTAATTTCCTAAGTTTGCTCGATTTGTCTCTAAACATTACCGACGAGTGTCGACCACTCAGATAATTTGCCGACCACCGTTTGAGCCTCTGTGGGAGAGAGGAGGCCTCCGTATCTTCTAGTAGCGTGGAATGTCTGACAGTGTCAAATGCCTTTGACAGGTCCAACGCTACTAGAATCGTTTTCTCACAGGGACGGTTAGGGTTAAGGCCACGAGTTATCTGAGTATTTATGGCGTTAAGTGCTGTTGTTGTACTGTGCACTTTACGGAAACCATGCTGATGCTTCGCTGGGGTCAGGTGGTTTGTGAAATACGGGAGCAGCAAGGCCTCAATTGTCTTCGCTACCGGGGAAAGGAGTGTTATCGGTCGATACGATTCTCCTTTGTTGGCAGGTTTCCCCGGTTTGAGCAGTGGGACCACTCTCCCCACCTTCCAGATGTCTGGGATGATGAGAGTGGCCATAAACAAATTGAAGATCTCCGTTAAGTACGCTACTCCCGTAGGACCCAAATTTTTCAGCATCAGCATGCATATTCCATCGGGACTCATGGCTTTGGAGGCTTTCGCTTTCCCGATGGCCACCTTAACTTCATCGCAAGTGAAAGCAAGGGGGGCATAATTTGTTGGCAGTTTGTGCAGCCTTCTGGTCACTCGACGCTTGATTTTGTCCACCGGAGGATGCATTATGAACTGCCGGCTAAAGTAGCTCGCGCATCGCTCCGGGTCCGACGAGGCATGGTCGCCGAAGAAATTTCGACTCTGTCGTCCTGCTTCGTCGGATTGGAAAGTGGCCTCACGGTTTCTTCGTTGTTTACAATTTGGTGGTGGCTTTTTACTGCAATTTTCTTCATTTTCGCTTGTGACAACGTGTGTACACATAAGATAAAGAATAATTTAACACAACGGCATGATTTATAGAAGAATTTGCATAATAAAAATGATTTTTCATGCGTTCAACAATTTCGCGGTTTTCTCCGTTCTCTTCGTTGTTTACTTCTTACAACAAAGATGGCGTCGAGATTTCGGCAGCTAGAAAATAACTTCTTTCGTTCTTTCCTTCCCGCGTGATCTTGTGTCTTTCGTTCATCACTGGCGGCT